CTGGCGGATGGTATCTTTGTCAAACAAATCGATGTTGTCCACCAAATTATGTCGGTAAATTACTTTCAAGTGCTGGTGGTAAAGATTTATCACTTTTAGCATCAGTACAAGTTTAAATAAACTGGTTGCAAAAACACCCAGGATAATATCAAGGACACACTGCTCTATGTTTTTCGCTTTTCTCTTCCATGTTAATCAACCTTTTTATTTTGGAAAATCTTTCTCTTTTTTTGTTTTATTTTATTCTCATATTTCTTTTAATCAAATATAAAATGTGGAGGTTTTTATTTTTTAAGATTATTATAAGTAAAGAAAATTAAACAAAAGAAGAACAACGAGATTGCATTCATGATGCTGCAAGACATACTACGCCGCACCAAAGGAATTTGTGAGTTGTACTGAAGTAATGAACATCGTAGGCTATTTTTCTCTCGGAAGAATTACAGTGAAACGTTTTTCAACGAGACGTTGTAAAAAGTTTATTATGCTTAGTTTGTAGCCTAGATTTCTAGCTATCTAAGGGGAAAAAAAGCCCAAAGACGCACTGATTGCTGAGCTACAGCTGCAACAAAACGTGACCGACTTACGTTTTTCGTAACGTTAAACATAAGACATCGATGCACTTGGCAGGTGTCAATGACATTTCGTAAAAATATTATTTTGTAAGTATAAAATTCGTTATGAGTGTCTGAACTCCAAACAAAATCGGGCATTTTGTAGAGAATTTAATTCTCTATCGAATGGTATGACTTTTAACATTCTTTCAATCAAATCTTTATTTTTATGTTTTAAAAATGTCATATTCGTAATCAGCGTAGAAAACTGCATCTCGTGATGTACTCATATCAGTTCTACGATGAAAACATTTTTTCAAAAATTTAATCAGGGAGGTGGACCGTTACGTGGACCGGTCAGGAATCGGGAAGTACGCCAATATGACTTTCGGCAAACGAGAATTTCGCCAATTTTCGAAGGTGCACCTGACTTTCGCCAATGTCTCACTATTTAGCTTGTCTATGTTTCTGAAGAAGTTAACAGCAGTTAACGAAACATCAAATTATGTTTAAAAATAAAAATAAAACGGTGTTGATAATTCTTCGTTTTATTATTTTACATTGTATATCATTTATCATTGTTAAAAGTTTTCGTTTTCAGTTTTGTTCATCAGCACTCACGTTGTGTGGAATAAAAATATCATATTCAGAATCACGCGTTACTCTTGATAATGAGTTCTAGTGAACTCGAAACGTTGATTCATTTTAATAAACAAAATATAGCCGTTGTAAAACAGTTACCAGTTTCTCATCTGCCCCTTACAAGAAATAATTTTGAGATTCATATGTTTATTCATACTTAGTTGTCCAGCTTAGTGTTCGTTCTTAGAAAAAATAAAAGTTTTCAACTTAGTTTTATTTGGTGACTAAAATAATCTCCTTTCCCAGTGCATTTCAGCATCAACATTATGCATCTTAAACAATCAAGGATGGCACAAAATGTGTATTTTTATAAACGAGAGAAAAGAAACGTTTCGTTGTTTACTTCTGCGCTAAAGCTTTAGTGTACACGCAAGAGCAACGTTGCTCATTGCGTTGTGAACGCAATGAGCAACTAAAGCTTTAGTGTACACGCGATATCTTGAAGATCAGTGATTTGGCTGGAATACAGATTTTTCTGGCAGTTCCAGGACTTCCACTTCTTTAGGTTTGGGGTCACAAAAATACATGAAGCAGAGGCTATCGACCCGTTCTGAATCTCGTGGCAATGTTTGTTTTATTTCACAGAATTGAAGGAAGTTCTAAGGATAAGTTTTGACGATGACGCTTGGACCCTCCGACGATTCGGCTATTTTTAATCCAAGATGACTGAAACTATAAGAAAAGACTTCGAAAAATAACCTGAATTCCGGCTAAATCACTGATTTTCAAGATCTCGCTTAGATCTCGTTTTGAAGAAAACACTTTTCTATCTTCTGCTGAAAAAATACCAATAGTCCGCTATTTTAAATTTTCGACTTATGCAGAAATTTTTCAAAGATCCGTTTAAAAGCCCATTTTTAAAAAGCTATCCAAAAAACTTTGGGTTTGCAAAAAGATGCTGCATAAGCTTCTCTTTCGGTTCGTGATGGAGATATGACCCCGGATGGCTTTTGCATAACGTTTCTCTATTATGTCTGAAAGTTTTAGCTCTCAAAGAATTTTAATCAGAGTGCATCTGCACGAAATATCTTCGTACTTTGAGAAAAAGCTTTTTCTGAGAACAGAACAACGCCTACGTCAGAAATAGTAGCCCGTGGTATGGCTGGTTTAAAGAAAATTCTTAAAAGTGGCATCCAACTCGTGGCTCGAGATCGTCATGCGGAACAGGCTATTCGTACAAGAGTTGGTTCTGGACGTTTAAAAGCCGATGAAATCATTGAAGCTTACCGTACCGGAAGAGAATTTTCTGATTCCGATGGCAAAACTTATATCCGACATAAATCAGCGACTGGTACAACGGTTGTAACTGACCGTAGAAATGGGAAAATAGTAACAGTTCAGTCTGACGACAAGCCAAACTCAAGATGGAAGCAAATCGCAAACAGAGGACAGAACTAGACGTTTTAATACTCTTTAGTAATTAGATCATAAAGATTAAATTTTCTCTAATCGATCAACTAACGTTGGAATGATAAAACATACGCTTCTAATTTAGCATCAATAATATTGACATTCTTTGACTTGATGATGATACTTCACACTATCATCAAGTCTAAAAGTCGAACTCAAATATAAAATGAAAAGTCTAAAAGTCGAACAAAAGCGACAAATCGCAGTAGAAGTTAAAAGCGAGTTTCGAAACAGTTTCTTTCTCTTACTTTTCAATCAGACTAATCCATTGCACAAAAACGTCAGTCGATATAACACATGTTATCGTTGACAATAGAGTAGAAGAGAATGATATTAACAATAAATAAAGTTGTTAGACTATTAGACTTTTCTCAGACTTTTTGTCTCATGCTAGACCTTGAGACTTTTGTTACACTTTTCTTAGACTTTTAGTCTCTTGTTAGACTTTGAGAGTATTGTTAGCCGTTTAGACTGTTCATTTTATTCTACCATCCCGTTACGTCTTTGGCTGTTGCTACCAATACTTTCCAGTTTCAACATTTCTGCTATGCATGATCTATGGATTTCTTTCTTTCAACAGTTGGAAGAAACTCTATCGATGGCGAAAACAAAACCTGATCATATATTTCCTTGCCACTATGACTGTCCGAAGGGAAAGCCAGAAAGTCATGGCGGCAAGGGGAAAAAGCGAGGATCGATCCATTTATGATCGTCTAATCTCTACATGGTTAGCATAGTTTTTTTCTCCGGTTTAAGGTGTGTGTAATCAATTATGATCAACAAATGGAAACTAATGATAAAGTAATGATAAAACAAATAATATAATTCATTAAAAAGTCTTTTTCTCAGCATTTTTCGATCTGCTCTCACAGCTTTTGAGGTAGAATTTCCAGTTGACCTCATTTGAAAGAGGAGACAAACCTGCATCGATTTTAGCGGCACTTGTTTTAATTTCGAGAATTAGTTATTGATTTTCGAAGTTTCGAAACTTTTGAATTTTTCAGTATTCTTTAAATATCTCAGCTCCAGAATCGAAATTAAAAGAGGTAGCATTAAAATATCTAGATCTCTTATCGGATCAAACAATTTCGAATTGCAGATATTAATACAACAGCTACGTGAATCGCATTTTATTAAGAACTTTTATTTATTTCGACGTTTCCACCATACACTTGTCATTATCAAGAATATACCCTAGACAAAATCCTACGCCCCTCCTGTCTGTTTCCTACTAGGATCTTACAGGATCATATTCGGTTCCACCCAATAACTTCCTAGCCGGAGCCTAAAATGCTATGATCCTACCAGGATTTCGCTTAAGTTTGTTTAGGATCGTAAGAGAATCTTAGAAAATCCTATGGCTTTCGGGTATACCTGATTTCATTAGGATTCTGTAGGATTTTGTTAGGACCCTAGGAAATGAACGCGAAACCCTAGTAGGATATTGGTAGGATATGTCTTGGATCCTGTTAGGAAACTCATAGGGATTTTACTAGGGTGTGTGGTAACAGAGATATTACAGTAAGAGTAGAGTTGGATATCTGAACTTTCACATGCACTTATATATACTCAACAATGTTACGAAATAAAAATTCCGCAACTTTGTGAAAATGCGCAAGTGAGTTTTAAACATTTGTTTAAAACACCTATTCTTTGTGGACATACTGTCTGTGGTTAGATATGCTCTACAAGCAGGAATCTCTTGATTCGAACTATAGTATTGTACTTCTGGAGATTCAGATTCCAGACACCCACTCTGGACAAGCCTAACTGCCGGAAAAGATATCAGATTCGCTCTCAGCATCGTGAGTTACGCATACAAAACTGGTTGCAGCAAAAAAGCAATTGCACACCTGAAACGTCCTCTCGTCAGTAGCCGTAGATTATTTTTTCATGCGTCATTTTTTTCATTCGAAAATGTGGAGAAGAAATACTACAAAGGTACTACAGAAAAATTAAACGTCGTCATATGACGACATAATAGTTTCACGAAATACGTAATGATCTTTTACTAATTCTGACTTTCACTCATATGACACCGTTTCATTTTTCTGAGAAAAGAAATCTGTATTTTACAAATCATTCATGTTGAAAATAATTCATTTTTTTCATTCGTTCTCTTTGTCTTAAGATAAACATGGTCATGCATGGTTACCTATACATGCGCACTTTTTCTTAGAAAAATTAAACTTCATCATATGAATGAATTCTGTATTTCTGGCCCAGTGGTTGTAGAATGTAGAGACATTTGAAGTTACAGTAATAGTTCCGCTTTCTAATGAAAGTAATTTTTGTATATAAAGAGAGGTTTAGGTTGAAATTTGATATACAACACAATCCATTCATTCTTCAACACAACAACCCAATACAGTTCCGAATATTTCAACACTAACAATGGCAAAACAATCCATACTTTTATTGTCATCTGCAATGGTGGTTTTATTATTAATTTCTATTGATTTAACAAGTGCTGCATGTCCATCAGGTTATGGTGTGTGTTCAAATTATGCCACTAAATGTTGTCCTAATGGTCAAGTGTGTGTTTCATCTGAGTATTGTTGTCCAACTGGCGGATGGTATCTTTGTCAAACAAATCGATGTTGTCCACCAAATTATGTCGGTAAATTACTTTCAAGTGCTGGTGGTAAAGATTTATCACTTTTAGCATCAGTACAAGTTTAGAAGACTTTTCTCTTGACGCTCTGAAAAATGACTTTTAGTAGTTTGTTGACAGTCGCCTTCAACAGTTGTTTCACATTTGTTGATACACAATCAAATGTCTGTTTCCGATATCAATTACAGCCAAGAAACAGGCATTTAATTGCGACTCTAAATCCAACGTTAACTATATCAAACACTTTATAAAGAGGCCGGGGAGCGTTTTTTCCTGACCTCACTGTTCTAGATGTTGTAATTGTCTTTTACAATGAAGAGCAGTTGTAGTGTTAGACTTTTAGATTTCTTAGAGTATCAGACTGTTAGGCTTTTTCTAAGACTTTGAACTTTTCAGACTATTCGATTGCTTAGACTTTTAGACTTTTTAGAGTTTTAGATTTATGAGGCTTTTAGGCTTTTTCTAAGACTTGTAGACTTTTCAGGCTTTTTGACCTTCAGACGTTTAAATTTCTTAGACGTTTAGATTCTTAGACTTTTCAGGCTTTTAGATTTCTCACACTTTTAGACTTTTAGATTTCCCAGACTTTTAGACTTTTCGGACATTTTCTGTGACTTTTAGATCTCTTAGAGTGTTAGACTTTTAGATTTCTTAGAGTATCAGAACGTTAGACTTTTTCTTAGACTTTTAGACGTTTAGATTTGTTACAATTTTAGTTGCCTTAGACTTTTAGGCTTTTCTGAAATTTTAGACTTTTAGATCTCTGAGGCTTTTAGGCTTTTCCTAACACTTGTAGACTTTTCAGGCTTTAGCTTTCGTAGACATTCAGACTTCTTATACGTTTTCTTTGACTGATTTTTCAGACTTTTTCTCTGACTTTTAGACCTTTCGGACTTTTAGATTTCTTAGAGTTTCAGACTTATAGACTTTTTCTAAGACTTTTCAGACTATTCGATTGCTTAGACTTTTAGACTTTTTAAAGTTTTAGACGTTTAAATTGGTTAGAATTTTAGTTGTCTTAGACTTTTAGACTTTTTTGTAATTTTAGACGTTTAGATTTCTGAGGCTTTAAGACTTCTAGATTTGTTAGAGTGTTATATATCGATCTTTATTTTATTTATATTCACATGTTTAAAAGGCAGAATATTAATATCATTCGAATGTGAGATAAGTTCTTGCTAGTATTCAGGAGAAAACTCATGTTTTCTAGTAATTCGTTGTTTTGATTTTCGTTATTCAAGGCTTCGTTATCAGAAAAAAATGTGTTTTCGATAGAATTATAAAAGATTAATCTTATGAAACATAGCGATCAATATAAAAAGAAGAATCTTTAAAGAAATAATCAAATTGATTAGAAAAGAAAAGGAAGTTCGTATATGCATTTATATAAAAGTTATTATAAAACTAATAGATAGTTTTTACTTGGGCTAGAGAATTCATCAATTTATGAGTCAAAGATTTATCACACAATGACAATCCTTGTACAGACAGTAGACAGAACCGAACGTTGCAGTATTTTACTGCAGAAGTGAAATTTGAAGAAGGAATAACGATCGACCAACCGGAATATATTTTTTGTAATTCTCCCTAAGTCATACACGATACTCTAGTACTGAAAACTGATTATTGTTCGTGGTTTCTTTTTTAGCTGCAATGTAGCAAAGTTATAGGTTGGACCACATAGATACTTTACAAATACATTTCATCTATGCGGGCAAACTTGTTTCTATTTCACCAGTGCAAATTGAAATTTTTCATAGCAGTGAAATCGCTGGAATGAAAAAGATGCTTTTGAGTAGAATCCAGAACTAGCGTCGATTTGCCTTCAAGAATTTTTTACATTACAATCTCAAGGTATGAACGCAACAAAGAGCCTTCAAACTTTCATGTCTCTAAAATTGTTTAAAGACATTATTATTAGCAAATACATCATTCGATAGTGTAATGTCCTCCAGCAGACGGTGCTGGATTTCATATGATTTTAAAAACGTGAAAATACTGAAGCTGACGCTGTTTTTCTGCATCAGCTTGTTCTAAAAGTTTTATAACTGTCAATACGAGGTCTAAGAGGCTTAAAAAGTTTTCAGTTTCAATCGTAGACTATTAATGAGAATGTAAAAAGTGTATGTTGATTTTTGTTTCATGGTTTCGTCTTATAGGCAGATGGTCGATCGGGTCGTGCGTTCATCCGTACAGTGCAGTGTATATAGTCAACATTTTGAAATTAAAAGTGTTTTTGGCCTAAAAGCGACCAGCTTTCGAAGTTTGTTTTGGAAACGTTACTACACTAAACCTCACCTGGAGATCTGATTTTTCGATAGTTTCAGTTCCCATCAACTCCTCTATCCAATAGAGACGACCACATTGTTCTAGTTCTTTATGTTAAAACGTTATTCAAAAAATGCCGAGGATCATTCTTTTTATAAACGGATCATGTATTCTGGTTCCTTAACTCATTTTCAAATTATATTAAAACAGAGTTGAAAGTGGGCACAGTTTCCGCTGATTAAATTCTTCTAATCACTTGATTGTTATTAATTAATAACTTTATTCATTGTAATATTAAAGCAAAAACACATTCAGTCAAAAAACTATTGAATTATACAAATACAATTTGTAAATAAAAAAGATAAAAAAAGAACTTGAACAAAGGAAATTGAATCACTCGAATTTCAAAGCCAAAAACAACGAAGTTGTTTCTCGTCGAAGAGACGAACACAAAATGGGGCCAGAAATTGAAGCACGATCGCCTAAACATTCATTAAAATCAGATAAACTGTCTATTCGATACTTTAATCAAACAAGCAAGTCAGGTTTAGTAGTTATTCCAGCAGACTTTGAACCGTAGAGGGCATGCTTTATGATCTTTACGAACAAAAGTGGAATCTTTGGGATACATTTACACCGTGCTCTTGCTTTCCCGATAACATTCATTGCCTTTTACGTAATAAAGTGCATTCTATCAGTAACAATTTTTTCACAGAAAGTAAGTATCAACCTCACTCATGATTTTTACCTTAATCTTGACGATGTTTTCTTCTATCTTGTTTTATTTTTTTCACTTTTAATCGATGCTGACGTTGAATCTTTTTTATTTCTTTTTCGATCGGGTCAACGTGAACTTGGAACTGCTCCGTAAGCTGATTCATTTGCAGCTTAAGTTGATCCATTTGCAGCTTAAATTGATCCATTTGCCGCTGAAATTGCTGTTTAGAATCCGCTAATTGTTTCTCTAATGGTGTTATTAGTTGCCGATAGTCGTTTTCAGCCTCTTGGATTTTGTCCTCACAAATGGCGTTTGGTAGACGACCATTTATTTTTTTCTACAAAAAGAACACAGTAGTTATGATACGTGTAATGACGAGAAAATCGACTGTTCCTTTGCAGAGGCGCCTCTTTGCGTCGCTTGACAGTTTAGATTTTAGCTCTGCTATTTAGCTTGTGGCTAAAGTCATACACTAAAATTATTATGTTCATATCAAACATGACTAATATCTATGAATTACCTCTCGAATTGTCCGTGACGTTTTCTGACATAGTTTCTGAGCCATACAGAAAATTAATATTAGAGTGGTTGACTAAATTATTTTCAGAAAATGATTACTACTCACTGTAAGTAGCAGTGGAATAAATAGCCTTTCTCAACAGTCTGTTTATAGATAGAATGAACTGACTGAGGTAGACGACGGTTTCTCTACCTCTTGCTCAGTATATTTTCTGTTATTTTTCTAAATGTCTATTTGTGGTTAATTACAATAAATAACTGAACACAATGTATATGATAGTTTTAGTCCAAATTTTATGGCATTCAATTATAGATCAGCTGAATATTTTTCTTACGTTATTCCCTTCGTCTATCAGTCCATAACCATCGAATATTTGTTTTCTCTGATTTACAGTCTTGGTCAGTACACGAAGCAGAGTAATTTAAAGGTAAAGCAAAAGATAGTAATTTAAAGATTATTAAGTGCTACAAATATCATTGTAGATTTAATTGAAAAATCACTTTGTTAGTTTATTCGAGCTTTCCATAAGTGACACTTCTGGTAAATAATAGAATTTATTATTTGGAACAAAGAAATGAAAATTGTTTAGCTCTGGCTACTATTGTCTTTGCAGGTTTGTTTTCTGACAGACCCTCTCTTAAAAGTTTAAACTGACGGTATTGCTTTTAACACCAATGTAGAAAGCAGTATCCATAACTGCATCGTGTCGTTTCATATTCCCAGTTACTGTCCATAAGAGTGACACATTGAATAAAGTTTAAAAATGTATTGAACTTCAAGACTCACATCAACTTTTTAAAAATAATTCATTAGTTTAACTATTGAAGAGTTATAATAAGTCGTTAACACTCACACGAACAACTAGCGGTGAAGGAAGTACCACATTATTTTTTCCGTTGCCCAAACCTGTAGCGTCTTCGTGGTCACTACCGATATCATCAATTAGAATAAATGAAAACAAGTTCGGCATTGTATGGAACTGAAATGTAGAAGCGTCTCTGTTGTTCAAACATACCAGTTAGTACTGGCTGATAATTTGAACGACTTTCACGATGAGTTTGATCGTCATCAATATCTACAGGCATAAAGAGAAACAGTTCTTAGAATGACGTAATAAGTACAGCATAGACATTGATGTGAAATATCAACTTCCTAGGTAAATCGTAATTGATATTATTGTCCCAATCATCATTAAAACCATCCACATCAGAGAAATTACCATTAACTATATTAAGTGTCTCAACTGAAAAAGATTGTTAGGTTTTATGTAACCGATTATTATTTGTAAATTATGTATACTTGTTGAAACAGGGCTTGGGTGCATTGTGAAATCACAAATGGTGCCAACAGTATGAGTGAGACCTTGAACTTCTTTAAACAGACAAGCAGATGGAAGTCAAAATTGAAAAGATCGAAGAAATTTCACAGGGAAAGCAGTACTTACCATTATCAACAAAATCAGCTTAAATCACAAAAGTGAAAAAAGTGCATTAATAATTACGAACTTTGCTGTCGAAACACGACGTCCTTACCAAAATAGCCTGGATCTTTGTAGAAAGACATGCTGCAATCATTTTTAAAAACGCATGGGTTTACTAAATAGAAAGAAAATTCAAGTTTGAACGCATGTTGTAAATAAATTCTTTAACATACTTTCCCAATCAAATTCAAGTAGTGGTTCTAAAGTGAAGTCTGGTTTCGGTAAATCAATATCAATACCATACCCTTCAAATGGAGAAACACAGGATGAACTTCTTGAGTTTGTTAACACAATTGAATAAAGATTTTATGGAATGCGAGAGAAGTTAACATGAATTCCCTCTTTTTAACAAAAAGTCTGCAGTCTTGAATTTATATAGTTTTATTAATTGTTGTAGTAAAACTGTATGTAATAAGCAGCTTTGGCTTTAGCTGCTTGAGCGGTTTTCACTGATTGTGTTGCTATAGAGGATAAAGAAGATAAATCCATATTAGATAGTGACTGAGATAATTGAGAACCATAAGTATCCTTCGGTAATCCATGTTCGAAGAGTCGTCTCCATGCTTGTCTCAGTTTTGCCCATTTATTGTGAACCACAGTCCTTAGACTTAACATCATAAATAACATCAAACTTTAGATACTTTGATATTTTATTCTTAAAATTAGGTAAATTTTGAACTGATACTAGGGGCCTTTCAGTAATTGTTAATTTAGTATCTGGTCGAATTTGACTGGTAAATTTTGGTAGCGCAGTTTTAAATACTCTAGTACTATTCTGAACAAAAGGCACTTTAGTAAGCAATTTTTTTTGTTTCTTGTCGGTACGAGTACCAATGCGAATACCCAGCTACTTATACCATTTGCTAATATATATATAACGATGAGTATGTCAGCAAAGGAACTGAAGGTTACTCTCACCTTCGCATCCAATACCTGTATCCATGGTATTAAGGAAAAGCTTTTTTCCTCATGTGTAAAGTACAACAGTGTTATATATTTTCCGTTGAAAATAAATCTATATAGTGTCAAAAACGTCAGTTTTGATCGAATAAATTTAAATTTAATTATGATCGCTATTAATCTAAAAAAGAGTCCTCATAAATTGTAAATGTTGAAAATACTATTTTTTCGTCGCGAAGTTCTATAGAAATGATATATATCATTTCTGAAGAACTTCGCGGCACGTTAATTATTTAAAGTGTCGCTAATTCAACGGTCGAGGAAAACGTTTTTATTGTGATACCTGTATACGGTTGAATAGAGCTTGCTGAGCTGTATTAGAATATGTATGCTTTAACCTTCCAAAAAAGCTTTTAAGGTCGAAAATTTGAAAAACTCATATTTCTTAAAGCCTGAAAAGCGGCTTATTTTTTTTTATATCGTTACACTCACCATAATAGCACGAAAAAAGTTATGTATTAGTTTGAAAAGTATTCTTCCGTTTCTGAGAAAATAAATTGTTTTGAAACAGACAATGAAGCACTGAAAATCAGGGATCTGCGTGACACCCTAAAGGCTTTACAGGATTTCGTTTTTAGACATCTAACGGATTGCATCTGATTCGTCAATTGTTGAACGCACTGAACGTTTGAGTCAATTCTGCCTGCATATTTTAGATACTGTAAGTAAGTAAATTTACCTTCATCGCGAACTTTCAATTCACATGTAACGTCACATAATTTAATTCTTTTTCTACCCGCATGTTGGCAACATATTTGTGCAGCTTCATGTGACTGATCCATATAAATTTTAGGCTTATTTTGTAACATTTTTTTACCAAATTCATTTATTTGTGTTGTGCTATTAACTAATTCTTTTAGTTTCGTTTGTGTTGTTGTTTTCGGTTTAGGCATCCTTCTCTTAAAATAATTTCAAGAAATAACTGACGCTGCGTCTTATATTAAATGTACTGAAAATCTAAAAATATACGTAAATTCGACTACATTTTCCAACATGGCATGCTCATTTATGAGCATCCAATTTGACGTGTTTAAACTAGTCAAACTTTGATCGGGAGATAATGTAAGGCGCCATTAATTTGAAGTTTCCACACGATTGTATTTTGGGCTCATTTATACATCATTCGATTGAGCTCAACAACAATATCACCTTTTTAACCTTCCCAGAGCCAGTTTCACCGAGAGAAATTAAAACACAGGAAGAGCGCTAAATTTCGAAAAGCTGTCCCTCTACGCAAAATTTGAATACTTTTTCTACAGTTCGTTGTAAAACTCTGAAACGTTTTGTTCCTTATTCAGCGGCGAAAACTGACTCCGAATATGGTATTTTCATTGCATAAAAGAAGGAGTTTTGAGGGATAAAATTGAGAATGAGGGACAGAATTCCGACTTTTTTATACTGGAGTTAGAAAAAATGAATTTTCTGAGCAACTGTTTTTGTGCACTAACACCCCCTTCGAGATTTCTATTAAGCTTGAAAGGCTTAAAATTTCCAAAGCATGTAAATTGCAGTGCAAATAATTGTCTAAAAAACATAAATTTCAAATGTATAGAAACAAAGATAATGTAAAATATACCCAGGACGTTCAAAATGGTTACATTAAGAGTACAGAAAATGTTTTCCGATACATCATAAGTAATGGTAAAATAAAACTTCTTTTGCTATTTAACACAATTTTTTCATCGTTTTAGGCATTTTAAGTAGGACCATATTCCTGCCTAAAAGCAGACGTTTTGAATCGACGAAAACCTGTTGAAAAAAAAACCATTTTAAGATGACCGGCTTTTCACTGCAAATGTTTGTCACTTTCCACATATTTTTACAGCCTAGTTTATTCTTTTGCTTGAAATTCTAAGAAAACAATAAACCGCCATTTTTAAATGTTTTGGTTCTTCCGGTTACAGTGTCTCAGAACCAGTAACTGCTTATTCAAAACAAGCAGCTCACATCTTGATGATTTTTACGATCCAAAAGGAGAACGTGTTCTAATATATCCAATCAATGTTTATATACCATTGTTAACAACAAAATCAAAGAGTATATGAAATAGTTAGTATTAAAACACCAGTTTTTGCACTTTTCTCTTGACGCTCTGAAAAATGACTTTTAGTAGTTTGTTGACAGTCGCCTGACTGAAACAGTTGTTTCACATTTGTTGATACACAATCAAATGTCTGTTTCCGATATCAATTACAGCCAAGAAACAGGCATTTAATTGCGACTCTAAATCCAACGTTAACTATATCAAACACTTTATAAAGAGGCCGGGGAGCGTTTTTTCCTGACCTCACTGTTCTAGATGTTGTAATTGTCTTTTACAATGAAGAGCAGTTGTATTACAGCAAACGAATTATTCAGAGCGCTCGTAGAATAATGTAAAGCGCTCGTCTGTGATGTTGTATAAGACAGAAAATATATAAAATCTATCTTTTCTTCTGCATTTTATTATTTTTTCCTATAGATTACTTTTTATTAGCTCTTATATATAACACATCAAAGAACACATTAAGTGTGCTAATTAATTATAGTAATATATATTCCTTTTTTTTTAACATTGAGATAGTTTATTGTTCCTTGAAAAAGGTTAACAAAAAAAGATTCATATAAAATACACATAACACGATAAAAAAGATGGGTGGAAGGATTAAAGACAGGATTAAGCAATAAGAATTTCAATTTTATCTTAAATCATGTATACATCAAGAAGTTGAAAAATGTAAACTAAGCAGAAATTAAAAAATTCTATTGTTAATCAAATACAAACAAAAAAAAAGTATATTTAAGGTGGGAAATTAAAGTATTTGTATACAAAAGATTGAACTGGTGTTGATGTCTTTTTATAAAAGCTATATTGCTGTTTTTGAATGTTTATGAAGTTAAGAACGTCTATATTTGTATGATGTGCTCTCTCAGCAAGTCTTCGAGGAAATCTACTGTTTTTGCGGAAACCACTCGCTCTATCCCATTCTCTCGTTGGCTGGGTAGCAATCTGATACGCAGTCTAGGTTTGTTGATAGACAAGTGTCTCAGGAGACTCAGAGAGATGCTTAAATAATCTTAACGTTAACCTGACCTCTAAGTGTCAGTTCTCTAGATAATATTATTGTCGTAAGATCGTCCCAGTTCCGCAATCTGTATATGAGTCTAAGCCCTATGATATTTTTTGCTTCTCAGTGAAATAGAAAAAAATTGGAAAGAGTAAACACAAGTGGGGTAGTGCATATGCAAAAAGAAGTTTTCTTCTCATAGATACGTGTGACTTTGGTATGGAACGGAATTTTATACTTAGTGCATTGTAAATTTTACGTATTTTTCTTAATCTTCCTAAAATATATTCATTCCAACCCATTTTAGTTCGAATTTCAACGCCTAAATACTTAAAAAAATTTACAAAAACCAGTCAGAATTCCTTTATATGTGAGTTAAGGTTTCTTGGGAGCTACGACGCTGTGAACAAGGAGCGCTTTCGTTTTGGGGACATTTACAGGTAGAATATTATCGTCTGAGAATTTCTCTAATGCTTTTAACACAGTTTGAGCCCGTTTTTCAGGATCTTCGATATTGTGTGAAAAACGCTTCTCGAGGGATTCAGTTAAAACCATAGCTAAATCATCTGCAAAAAGGTGTGATATTGCTTGAAAGAAGCATTGTGGCCAAAAATGAAGATGAAGACGAAATAATGTTGCTGCAAGAACTGAGCCTTGCGGAGCCTCTGCATACATTCTTACAACACGAAACATTATATGACCATAGTGAATAGAGATCGATCTTGAAGCCATCCATAGATCCATCTAAGTAGATCACGTGGCATGTCAAGCTCATATAAATATTTTATTAAGGCCGGATACCAAAGTTTGTCAAACGCAGATAAAAAGTCGACAAAGGTAACTAATGCTGGCCGATTACAGGCAGCAGTTGTAAGTCTTAAATCTTCACATAGTGATAGGATTTTTGTTTGTAATCTCCTACCCGAGGTAAAGCCCGATTGTTCATCAATATATATTCCTTTCCGTTCACACTATTTCATTATACGCTCATGGACAATGCGCTCAAACGTGCGTTCAAAGTGACGAGAGAAAAAACAGTAAAGCATGAGAAAATATGTATACTGGGAGAAGAATACTGCAGTAAAAGAATTAATATATACATCTACTACTAAACGGCTGACTGGACCCAGGCGAAAAAAAATCGTTAGAAACGACACGAAAAACGCGTTTTTTCCGAACGCGTTAGCGAACGATCGTTAAAAGAGCCGTTTAAACGCGTTTTTTGTCATTCAGAAGTTTAGAATAACGCGT